AAATAAAATAGTTCATTTTTTTATTTATTAAAATGAAATACCAAAACGAAAAAATATGAACTCGAAATTATGATTTTCTTTCGTGTGGTTCAGTAAATATACGTTTGGCTTACAGAAATATAAAAAGACAACTGAATTATTCGGAATTTTCAAATGGTTAGATAGGTTACATTCCCACTGTTTCGCGTTTATTGTCAGTAATAAATGCTGTTTTACTGTTGAAATAAATGTGTTTAAGTTTCACATTTTAAAAAATCAAGAATAAATTTGTTGTTTTTCTAGAAGTATTTGCTCTTGAAAGAACTTTTAACGTAGAATATAAGTAGTTATTTTATTCCGATGCTCATGTGTGAACGAATCATATTTTTCTCGAGATTTGATGGAAGTGCGAATGATGGGGTGTGAAAATAAGGGAATTCCAATTCTGCGAGTGAAAAAAAGGCGGAGCTGGAAAAGCGGAAAAAATTTAGGGTCATTTTATAGAGGCTTGAACTCAGGTAAATGGGATACAGACAGATAAATGGATTTGCTGAACGAAAAGGATCCATTTCTTTCCCTTGCAGCCCCTCCTTTTTCCTGAATAAAATAAGAATATATGTATGTACCATATTAGATATATATTTCAAACTCTGTTTGTTATTTGTAATCTGAAAAGAATTTTCTGTGAGCCAGAAAATGGTGGAAAGAAATTCCTTTTTTTTTTTTTTGGCAGCGGATGTTAACTTAATATTTGCGTTATTTTCTTACTCTGCCTTTATGAATCCAAACTCTAGCAAAATTGTTCTAATTACTTCTTGTAGCTCAAGGTAAAGTTATAAGGTATTTCTCCCCCTTCCCTAGCGTGCCTTCGTGGTGTAACGGTAGCACGCTGGGCCGGTATTCCAGAGGTCCGTGGTTCGATTCCCGGCGAAGGCGGTGGCATATTTTTCATCTTTTCTGCTTCCAATTAACCTAATGACTCTACAATTGGCGTCGGAACTAAAAGGGTTGTGGATGATGATTCTCCACAGCCAGGATTTGGTGACTAGGTCCCCTAAAACCCTAGTCGCCCTTTAAAAAGGGGAGTATATAAGGTATTTCTCCCACTTCCCTAGCGTGCCTTCATGGAGTAACGGTAGCACGCTGGGCTGGTATTCCAAAGGTCCGTGGTTCGATTCCGGGCGAAGGCGGTTGCATATATATATTTCATCTTTTCTGCTACCAATTAACCTAATGTTCTACAAGGTGGCAAAGACTCATAAGGCTTTACCTGGTTTTTTCAGTTGCTATCTGGATGTGCTAATCACACCTCCAGAATACTCATGGAAAGAGATAATTCCTTATATTCTTTCTCTCCTCTCTCGCAAAGGGCAGCTGGGGAGAAACAAGTCACCCAGTCGACCAAATAAGGCTGATTGCGAGTTATCGCCCACTACATATTAGTTCAGGCACTACTGTATGGAATTTAAAATTATTCTTCAAACCTAGGAAACTAGTATAAAAAATATTCTCTTTTTAGGAATCGGGGTCTACCAGCGGCCGAGCGGTAAAGTCGCTGAACACTGGTAGTTCGGTCCGAGGTTCGAATCTCGCGAACGGGCTGGCTGCATGGGTGTTTTGGGGGTTTTCGCCATGTATAACGTGTATACGAGCCAGTTTCCCTTAGAAAGTCCTCCACGAAGGCATCCCTCACCTTAGGCAGATAGCCCTAGTTTGCTTTGCCATAATTAAATTAAATACACCACCTTTTTAGGAATCGAACCACGGATCTTCCACTTGTATTTGGGTTGGCTAACTATTTATGCCTTAAACCACGAGAACACGCAAAGAAAAATGTGGTAATTTCTTAATACACCTTAGACATTTTAATCGTTCTGAACGATGGTCGCTCTCTCCGATATATTAGTTGATATAGTTAACTGCAGACGCCGTTTAACCCAGATTCAAATACCAGATGAATTAAGAACCTCGGTGACTGTATTCTTTTTGTGGATTGTTTCACTTAATATATATCCACCTTGAAATGTAGTGATTAGAATACAACAAAGCACGTTAAGGTTATATCTCTAAAGAAACAGATGTCTTCGTGGAGGACAATTTGAGGGAATTCATTCATATTCACGTTACACATTAATAAAACCACAGAAGCCGACATGCGTCCAGTCCGTTTACGGAGATTTGAAACCATTTAAAAAGCGGTAGAAAAATTTTGTACATGATCGAATTTTGCTTATTTTTAAGTTTTAATGGTCAAAGACTTAAAACTCAAGGTGTTACAGATATGTAGGTACTTTAACCCTTTTCCGGCACTCTGCCTTTTAAAGTCGGAGTTTTGATGAGAAAAAAAAAAAAAAAAAAAAAAGTAGCAGTCTAATTAGGCCTAGAGGAGTACACACGTTAATTTTTGTGAAGATAACACTTATCGTTTTAATTCTGTGGGTGTGCCCAAATTGGCACACTGATTTAATAGAGCTTCAAAAAGAGTGTTGAAACGAGCATTGTTGTTCATGAACTGACCGAAGAGATACGGAGAAACAAAGAATACAGTCTCTTAGTTGTCCTAGATTATCGGAGAGCCCGGTCTGGTCACACCTAGGGTTCGCCGTTTGATTTTAGGCAAGATTTCAAGGTAAAAATTTAAAACTAATATAGAATAAGGAGATTAGCATATAGCCAAAATAATAACATAGAAATGTCTTTCTAAGTAATTCCATTTATACGCTAAAAAAAATCTGAAAGATTTCTTTGAAAAATGAGGGTCTTTAAAAACTAAACATGGCTAAAATATATGGACTGGTTTGTGTTGAGCTGCCATCTACTATAAATAAAGAAGGTTCAGAGTAACCTATAGTAACCTATAAATCTTTTTTCATTCAATTTTTCTGTGTGTACAGAAGGAAATTTTTAGGTGTGTCCAGATCGGACACACTGTGCCGCAAAGGGTTAAAGAAACAAAATGCTTCCAAAAATCCTTTATAGATGAAATTTGAAATATGATTTTAAGTACAGTAGTTTATTAAAACAAAGAAGGAAATACTTTTTTAGTGCTATTTAACTTAACTGTAGGTGAAAATTATGTATTTTCGTATCCTCGTAATCATGGCCTCGGTTCATACCAATCTGATCTGTAGTAAGATTTTTTTTTTTTTTAATTTTGCCTTTGAAAATATTTTTGTAGAGAAATTGGTTCTCCTAAATAGTGATGTTAGTATATGAACATACCACTTTAATTTCGCACATTCACAATTGAAGTCATTTATGAAGTATTTCATCCTTCTTTTGACCTAAATCAAACAGCAGTAAAGCGGTAAAACCGCTGAACAGTAGTAGTTCAGCTCCCAATCAAACCCAGGCGAATGGGCTATTATTATGAAATTTATCGTGTTTTATGTGTTATCGTGAATACGAACCCGTTTCCTTCGACGAAGGTATTTCATCCTTTTCGCAAACCTTTTGGCGTAATATAAGATAATCTTAATCCATCGTTGTTTAGAACTACTTGTTGTATTACAGAGTAACTATTTTTAATTAAAATTCAGATAAAGTTTCTCAAAAATGTTAAAATTCATTTTTCAGGTCCCAGACGTAAGCATTTGGCAGCCTGTCGTTTGTGAGCTCCGTAGTTTATATACTTTTTTCAGTGTTTTATTTCTTCGAGTTAGTTTTGTTAAACTGTATTATCCACTAGACATCAAAACCATATTTTAACAAAAGAAACATTCAGTTGAATTTGTATTTCTGAATTAAATGTAGAATTTCCTTAAAAGTTAAATTATGAGAAATTATCCCATCTCTCCCTTGCATGCTGTCCGTAGTGTAATTGGTTGACTGTCCATGCTTTAATTGCAAAGTCTGTGGCTAGAATTCTGGCAAGATTATATTTTATCTCTTCTTTTAATGGCTTATAAACGTTTCTATAATGGCGCACGAACTAAAATGTTGTTTGGACGATAAATCATTTCTACTTTTCTACTGTGTGTTGTGCTTCTTCCCAATCGCTCTGCAACTGAGGTAAAATATAAATAATTCTCTCATGCGTGCTCTTGAGGTGTTAATGGCCATCTCGTCTGGGTAACAATGGTAGCTCCATCATTCAAAATACGGGTAGTTTGTTTTGCTTCATGATTTGTAAGGTATAAATATTTGTAAAGATTTCATCTTTACATCTGTACCTGCACCTACACCCTGTCCTTATTATATTTCTATGCCTAATATCTACTATAATTATGAAAAGTAACTAAAATATGTATTGAATTAGTAGAAGTACGTAATATATTTGCAAAGGTCTTGGTAATGCAGCATCTATAGCATTTCTTAAAAAACTTTAATCATGTAACTATCAGTACGCACTTTAACTTTGATCACATTGTATCGACAATGTCAGTATCTTCTTGCAAGTAACAGCAACTTTCCAATGCTCAAGATAAGCGGTCATCAGGGCGTTTTTCCCATTCGTCTCAAGTGTCTCCACCATGCACTTTCTTTCTATGTTCTGGTTCTTCTTGCAGTGTTTCTCACTCTACGTAGTCAATTCCCGGAGGACATAGTACTAAGCTCTAGTTTTTTTTTAATTCCATCGACGGTATCCAACAGGCTGAAGAGAAGGCACCTAACCCAGTGAACCAGATATTATATCGATGGTGAAAAGAAAGAACTATAAGGTATTTCTCCCGCCTTCTTTGCCTGCCTTCGTGTTGTAGTGGTCAGCACACTCGGCGCGTATTCGAGAGGTCCGTGGTTCGAGTCCTGGCGAGGGCATTGTTCATTTTTCATCTTTTCTGTTTCGAAATAACCTAATGTCTCTACAGCGTCTGTTCGGAAATCAGTAAGACTGGTCTATTTCTGAGCAAACGGGCGTATGAGAGGCGGTCTACGGACACACGATCGGTGGACGGGTATATTGGGAACGCTGGGAAAAATTGGCAGTCGGCCGTTGAAGAGTGCAGGTCACTTGTACCGTAAACCCCTGTCGAAAAATCTTGTCACGGAGAATCAAGGAGCGTTTTCTGGAGCAGCAATATATGATTAAATTTTGTGTAAAGCTTGGTAAAACGGGCAAAGAGACTGACAAGGACACCTACGGTGATGCTGTCAGGGATAGATTTTGTGTTTTAGAGTGGCACAAGCTGTTCCGAGAAGATAGAGAAAAAGTGGAAGATGACGAACGCTCCGGACGCGCTTCGATCAGCAAGACCAACCAAAATGTGTCGCGAGTGAAAGGTTCACTGAATATTGATCGTAGGTTTAGTATCAGAATGATTGCTGATGAATTGAGCATTCCTCAAACCCAAGTTTTTGAGATCGTGACAGAAAGCTCAGTCATGAGGAAAGTGTGCGCGAAGTTAGTGCCCCGAGTGTTGTCAGAGGAGCAAAAGGCCAACCGGAAAGCGATCTGTGAATGAGGACAACGACTGTTTCTTCATTTGAATTAGGACCCTTTGTTTGGACAATGTAGTGACCGGTGACGATATGTGAGTCTTTAAATACGACCCGGAGAGCAAGCGGCAGAGTTCAGAATGACACACCCCATTCTTCCTCACGCCCCAAGAAAGCACGGATAAGCAAATCCAAGCAAAATTCCATGCTCATTTGCTTCTTTGATCGACATGGTGTCATCCATAAAGAGTTCGTACCACCCGGACAAACAGTTAATGTAGTTTTTTCCTTGGAAGTCTTCAACAAGACAGCGAAAATGCATTGTTCGTGTCTGCCCAGCCATCGCCAACGACTGGCGGCTGCATCATGACAACGCACCGAGCCAGACAGCGTGCCACGTAGTGCCTCGGCTTGCCCAGCACAATGTGGCAGAGCTGCCTTATTCCCCCCTGCAGCCCCGACTTGGCCCCGCCAGACTTTTTCTATTCCCGAGAATAAAATCTACGCCGCTCAAGGGTGATCACGGCTCGGTAAAGGCGGTTTATAGGTCGTGACGATGGAGCTAAACAGCATTCCGGTACAGGCGTTCATGGAGGCATACGAAAACTGGAAATCTAGTTGGCAGCAGTGTGTAGATGCGAAAGGGTACTACTTCGAAAAATTCTAATCGTTTGTACTATTCTCACGAATAATTTTTTTTTTTAAATGAGTCCTACTACTTTCTGAACACTCCCTGTACAAGACTTCTCTACAAAGTTTCCTGAAAACGCTTTCAGAGTGTAACTGTGTATTATAGCGTAGCGTTTCAGCCTTCAGTATAGATTTCTTTCTACATTTAAGTAAAGTTTTTTTTTTCGAGGAATATAAAACTATTTTTAAAAATGCATACAAGTTTAGTGAACTATCAAATGTAAAACAAGTTTAGTATTCTAAACCAAAACCAAAACCTTTCATTAACTGTCAGCGTTAGTTTCAAATTCTTCTGTAAGAAATAACGTTATCGATTAAGAGAGTTTTCTCAGTTCTGATAAACCTTTATCATTACTTTTTTAATGGAATCTTTCGATTTCATTTAAGAAACTCTCAGCTTTTTGAGGTTCTCAGATTTTCAATTTTCATCACGCTGCTGCTTTAATCTAAGGCTTTTAAAGCTAGATGCGAAAAAAGATAGGAGAAACTTCTTTCGATGAAAAAACAGAAGTTTTGCCCATAAAAATTTGCCTTATCTGTACTACGTAAGATAGAGTGTCGAAGTGAAAATTTTGACTTCACAGTTGAAAACATATTTCATACAGAATACTGTGAATTTCATAAAAGGCTGAGTTTTACTGTAAACAGGACGATATATTGTTATTTGCTACGGATTCTATGACAATTACGCTAGAGGAGCAAGAAAAAAATTTAAATAAATTAAATAAATTTAAATATTGATGAAATAAATAACATCTCTACAGCAAGCTAAACAGCAATAAATAACTCAAAGAGGAATGTAGAAATGAGGCATATTCTCTCTAACGCAAGAAGAAAATCACAGATCAGCAAAATCACTTACAAAAAAAATTCTGAATAATTTTAATAACTAATCAAAATAACCCTCGGTTCCAACGCAGCCGTATTTGTATGGTTGCCAACATTTCTGGAAGCTTCTAGCAAAAAACGCTTTTAGTTCTTAAAAGATCAATTTTCTGAAAACTTCCAAAACGTCGCCAAGTTGGCGGAAAATCGCCAAACGCCACTAACCTGTCGAAGATGTCTTGGGCCCGTCAATAGCTCAGTAAAACTCATAATTAAATAAATCACTTCACACAAAAACTCAAAAATGGACTGTATACTAAAAATTTTTAACTACTCAAAAAGCCGCGTAGTTAGTTCACATCTCTCGGCTGCGTCTCAGAACACACTCAAAAAACTCAATCCAAGTGGCCGCCAGATGGCGCTATAAAAACAGAAGCGTCATCGTTTTAGAACACAAATATTACATATTTTTCACAGATGGCGCCTCTGTCGTCAACATGTCTTAATATGCTGGATTTTAGCTTAGCAATTGCTGAATGTTTCCCTGGTAAATGCCATAATTCAGAAATCGTTGCTTGAGAATCACATGAATTTGAACCTGAAGCTCAAGCACACCTATGAAAATCTTGTTGAAATCACAAGCGCTGCCAAGCTAGCACGGAGCAATACATTTGTTTGGTGAACATGAGATGCAGCTCTATCGTACATGAATTATACTCTTAATTCTTTAATTATACTCGTTTACTAATACGGATACTAATACTTTTATGTTTCTTAATACTAATGCGAAATAACATTATAAATAATAGCAAAGCAATTTACAGTGATGTGAACTTGTAATTAAGCTCCTTAATTACAAGTTCACATCACTGTAAATTGAACCTGAAGCTCAAGCACACCTATGAAAATCTTGTTGAAATCACAAGCGCTGCCAAGCTAGCACGGAGCAATACATTTGTTTGGTGAACATGAGATGCAGCTCTATCGTACCTGATATACTCTTATTCTTAATTATACGCGTTTACTAATACGATACTAATCTTTTATGTTTCTTAATACTAATGCGAAATAACATTATAAATAATAGCAAGCAATTTACATGATGTGAACTTGTAATTAAGCTCCTTAATTACAGTTCACATCACTGTAAATTGAACTGAAGCTCAAGCACACCTATGAAAATCTTGTTGAAATCACAAGCGCTGCCAAGCTAGCACGGAGCAATACATTTGTTTGGTGAACATGAGATGCGCTCTCGTACATAATTATACTCTTAATTCTTTAATATACTCGTTTACTATACGGATACTAATACTTTTTGTTCTTAATACTAATGCGAAATAACATTATATAATAGCAAAGCATTTACAGTGATGTGAACTTGTAATTAAGCGCCTTAATTACAAGTTCACATCACTGTAAATTGAACTGAAGCTCAAGCCACCTAGAAAATCTTGTTGAATCACAGCGCTGCAAGCTAGCACGGAGGCAATACATTTGTTTGGTGAACATGAGATGCAGCTCTATCGTACATGAATTATACTCTTAATTCTTTAATTATACTCGTTTACTAATACGGATACTAATACATTTATGTTTCTTAATACTAATGCGAAATACATTATAAATAATAGCAAAGCATTTACAGTGAGTGACTTGTAATTAAGCTCCTTATTACAAGTTCACATCACTGTAAATTGAACCTGAAGCTCAAGCCACTATGAAATCTTGTGAAATCACAAGCGCTGCCAAGCTACACGGAGCAATACATTTGTTTGGTGAACATGAGATGCAGCTCTATCGTACATGAATTTTACTCTTAATTCTTAATTATACTCGTTTACTAATACGGATACTAATCATTTATGTTTCTTAATACTAATGCGAAATAACATTATAAATAATAGCAAAGCAATTTACAGTGATGTGAACTTGTAATTAAGCTCCTTAATTACAAGTTCACATCACTGTAAATTGAACCTGAAGCTCAAGCACACCTATGAAAATCTTGTTGAAATCACAAGCGCTGCCAAGCTAGCACGGAGCAATACATTTGTTTGGTGAACATGAGATGCAGCTCTATCGTACATGAATTATACTCTTAATTCTTTAATTATACTCGTTTACTAATACGGATACTAATACATTTATGTTTCTTAATACTAATGCGAATAACATTATAAATAAGCAAAGCAATTTACAGTGATGTGAACTTGTAATTAAGCTCCTTATTCACATCACTTTTGCTGGAGCTTCAATGTTTACTGGTCTTATTTTAAGATTATGATACTTACGCAAATCTTGTAGCAATTACAGTCTTGATGCAGAACAGCTCCAAGCTGAACATCGTAAAATGCGATTTTCAGTAACAAGCACACCTACGTTGAATCTGTGAATCACTAAGGTTTAAAAGACCAATGATTCTTATATGCCCCTTGCTTTTGTGAAATTCTAACTGCTAACATAAACTTGCTACATTTGTTACCAATTCGGTCTAAGCTAAAAAGTATGAACTTGTAATTAAACTAATTGAACCTCAAGGAACACACCTGTTTAACCGATGCTTTAAAAACTAAACAAGAACTTTTTGAAAAAATACAGCAGTGATGTGAACTCTTAAGCTAGCAGTAATTGAACCTGAAGGGATGAAGGATGAAACAAGCACGGAAATCAAGCCATCTTAATAAATGTTCAAAATTAAGCTCCTTAATTACAAGTTCACATCACTGTAAATTGCTTACACAATAGCTCAGCAATTCACATCACTGTAAATTGCTTTAAAGAAATACAGGCTTAGCTTAAAGTCAGAAGTAAATCCCGCATGTCAAGCAGTCAAATACAATGATTTTTCATGCTACACATCGGAGAGGGAAGCATCCCATCTGCTGAAGTTCTGTTGTTTACTGGTTCTTTTAAGCTTAGATGTATCTCGTCTGTCCATTAGTCTATTCCAGAACTACATTTCGTTAACAACCATTTTTCTGTTCTACAATATCACAAAGTGCCAAAACTACTAAAGTTGTAAAGCCATTCAGATGAATTATCGCCTCTTTTGCTTTCTAACTGCTATCATAAACTCGAAGTCCAGATTTAAAATAAACTTATTTAAAAACACGTTAAACCGATGATTATAGAAAACGAAAAAATATAACAGAAACAACTCTGCAGCTTTCAGGGAATGAAGAACAAATGTTCAAGCCAAATTAAATGTGAAATACAAATTAACACGCACCTAAATATACCTCGGCTAAGACTTAAGTATTCGCGGAACAAATGATGTTTTCCGATGCTAAAAACGAAAAATCAATTCAAGCAGCAGGGATGAACTGCAGAATAACAAACAGCAAAGGCTGCTAAAAGTCTCTCTCAAACTCAAGAACTTTGCGATTTGAAACACTTCAACTAACTGTAGAGTTCTGTAGCTTCAACTAACTGGTGAGAGCTGACGAAGTTAGATGTGAAACTGTAAACAAATTAACAAGTTAACTGATTTAATTAACATACAATCTTA